ACTGCTACCCAGAGGTTGGTGGTTCCAACACACCAGCCACTCTGTGGAAGACTAGGCATTCTACTTCCATAAGGATTTACCACCTCAGAAACCCAACGGGGGTCGCTATGAGTCAGAATCGACTTGAGGCAGTGAGTTTAGTTTGATTTTATTTATTGAAGCAAAGCCCAAACCAAACCCACCGCCGTCTAATAGATTCTGACTCACAACACCCCTGGAGGACAGAGTGGAACTGCTCTATAGGGTTTCCAAGGCTATAATCTTTCCAGAAGCAGACTACCACATCTTTCTCCTGCTGAGCAGCTGGTGGGTTTGAACCACCAACCTTTCAGTTAGTAGCTGACTGCTTTAACCACTATGCCACCAGGGCTCCTTTCTTACTTTACAAATCAGGATCTTTGCCCTTCTCAAGGCCTGGACCCCACTTATTCTGAATAATAAAATTCTGATCCCATCTGTAAATTTTTCAGCTTTCTCTGGCTTTAGTTCTTCTGGGAATGGAGGCTAGAGCTCTTTTGCTCCAGGTAGGGGCTGACTGCCCTTCTCTGTACCATTTTTTTTGTACAAATAATTTGAGATTATTCTCTTTGATCAAGGAGAGGAAATAAGAGAGTTTCTGCCTTTTATCTGTAATTAATTAAAATTGTGCCAACTGCTTCAAGCATTGTATCCATCCCTCTTTTTTTTTGTTCCTTTGGCTCAAGTATCTTATTTTTTTTCTTTTTAATTGTTCAGGGAGCTCTGGTGGTGTGGTGATTAAGGCATTTGGCTGCTAAGCAGAAGTTCAGTGGTTTGAACCCACCAGCTGCTCCACAGAAGAAATATGAGGCAGTCTGTTTCCATAAAGATTTACAACCTTGGAAACCCAGTGGGGGTCCCTATGAGTTGGAATGGATTCATTGGCAGTGACTTTTTTGAGTTTTAACTGTTCAGCTCATTTAGGAATTAAACTTCCTGATACTGTTTTTACAGATTTCAGTCACTCCTCTCCATTTGTGTGGTTATCTGGGTCATCGTCCATCTTTTTTGTCACTTTAAAATCTGAGCTCATCTGAGGTACCATAATTCTACATCTCTTATCTAAGTCACTTGCAACTTTGTGGACACATGCTTTTAAGGGTTCTTCATCTTCCTTAAGGAGCTCTGGTGGTATAATGCCTAAGGCATTTGACCAGAAGGTTGGCAGGTCAAACCCACCAGCCACTCCACAGACGGCAGACGGGCCAGTCTACTTCTGTAAAGATGTACCACCTCAGAAACCCAATGGGGGTTCTGTGAGTCAGAATCAACTGGATGGGAATGCGTTTTTTGTGTTTTCATTCTCCTTGAACAAGCTCCCCTTTTCAAGTCTTTGGCTACTGAACTATCTCTCTCTTTTTTTTCTTCCAACTTAAAAAATCATTGCTTCCCTAAAGTCTAGGTAGGCCAAGTTGAAAACCATAATTTGGTGTTCCCATTTGTGTTGCAAAGTGCATTTTAGCTCAATTTTGTTTTGCATTTAAGAAACCAAAAGTTCTTATCATACTGTTTTAGAACGTTTAATATTCCATGGTATTTGAGCAACTTTTAAGAATCTATAAGCATTTTGAAATCTTTTACTTTCTGTAAGGAGCTCTAGTGGCATAGAGGGTAAGGCATTTGGCTATTAACCAGATGGTCAGTGGTTCAAAACCCATCAGGTGCTCCATGGGAGGAAGATGAGGCAGTCTACTTCCGTTAAGATTTACAGTCTTGGAAACCCAATGGGGGTCTCTATGAGTGGGAATTAACTCGACAGCAGTGGGTTTGGTTTGGTTCTGGTTACTTTTCACAGTGGTTAAAGCATTTGGCTGCTAATCAAAAGGATGACAGTTCCAACCCACCAGCCAATTCATGGGAGAAAGATGATGCAGTCTGCTTCTATAAAGATTTACAGCCTTGGAAACTGTATAGGGTAGATTTACTCTGTCCTAAAGAGTCGTTATGAATCAAAATCAACTTGATGGCAATGAGTTTGGTTTGCTTTGGGTTACTTTCTTTTTAGACAATGGAGTTAGATTAGGCTACTATGTTACAAAGTCCTTCACCTTGGGCCAAAACTGACCTCTCAAGCCCCTTCTTGCTGTTCCTCTTCCTTCTGCTGAGGCGCTGCCCACATGGCCTGGCAGTTGGGATGTCCTTAGTGGTCTGAGGGTGGTGGTGTGTTTTGTAAGTACTGTTACTGAACACCTCCTCATGGCTTATTCCATGGACCTTCATGCCCTTCCATTCAGTGGCTCTGCTGAGAACCCACTGGGTGAGAACTGGGGATCAAAGATGCAATAGCCAGTATCTGCATATAGCAGACACTCAATGAATGCTGATGGAAGGCTTGGTGACTTTCATATAGTGGCTCTGGCAAGTTCTCCAGTGATTGGCAAGAGGAAGAAGCAGGGACAAAAAACTCTGACTCATGGTGTGGAGATTTCTGGTTAGGCCCCTGCCAGAAAGTTGCTCTCCATTCCCCAAGGAGGAATCAACACACAATGAGATGGATGGATACAGGTGATGGCTTCCTCATATCTAGACTAGTGTCTTTCTAAGAAGTCCTAGTGATGCAGTCCAGCTGACCCACTCCATGGGAGAAAAGACCTGGCAATCTGCTGCCATAAAGATTCCAGAAAAAAAACGACTCACTGCCATCACGTCAATTCCAACTCATAGCGACCCCCATTGGATTTCCTAGGCAGTAAATGTTTATAGAAATAGATTGCCCTGTCTTCTTTCCATGGAGCAGCCAGTGGGTTTGAACCACCAGCCTTCTGGTTAGCAGCCAAATCTCTTAGGCACTGCACCACGAGAGTGCCTTTCCATAAAGATTACAGCCTAAGAAACTCTATGGGCAGTTCTGTTGTGTCCTATAGGGTCACTGTGAGTTGGAATCGACTCAATGACACACAAGAAGTGTCTTTTTGAGGAGAATGTGGCCTCTAAAAGCCAAACCAACATGAATTTCCAAAAAGGTAGCCTTTTTAAATACAGGGCTGGCTAACTTTATCTGTAAAAGATATTATACCCCCATTAGAGGCTGGTTGTGGCCAGGAGTTCTGGTGGCGTAGTGCCTGAGTCATTTGACTGCTAACCAGAAGGCTGGCAGTTCAAACCCACCAGCACTCCTCGGAAGGAAGGTTGGGCAATCTACTTCCATAGTGATACCACCTCAGAAACCCATGGAGGGGTCGCTATGAGTCGGATCTGACTTGACAGAAGTGTGTTCAAGTGTGTGGGGAGTGAAGGGAGCCTGCACACCTCAAAGAGATGATGTTGCTTACACTTATCCAGCTGCTTAGAGGAGAAACATCCGTAATGCAGAGAGGGCAGATCTGTGAACAGATCTGGGGTGGGTTGGCCTGAAAAAAGAAGGCTTGCAACTGTGTTCCCTTCATGCACTCAGGTGCAAGGAAGTTCCTCTGAGACTGGATCTGAAGGGGGCTTTAGTGATGGCCACATCCCCTGAGATAGTATGACAAATTCCAAGTACAAAAGTTTTTATGAAGGGAGAACCTTTCACTTTCAACAGAATGTGTGATCAATTCTTCAGTCTTCTGCGGCAATTGTAAAAGATGCAATCTGTTGAATTGTAGCAAAAGCTTCCAAAGAGGTTAAGAACCAGTGGCCATTGAGTCATCCTCGACTCATGGCAAACCCATGTGTGTCAGCACAGAACTGTGCCCCGCCCAGTTTTCAGTGGCTATTTTGTTTTTTTTTTTTGAAAGGAGATCACCAGGCCTTTGTTCCATGGCACCTCTGGGTGGATTTGTTTAGTCCTCAAGCCACTTAACCATTTGTGCCAGGCAGGGACTCCTCTAAGATGGCATAGAGAAGCCCTTTTCTCTCAGGGTGTGAAGTGTGTGTATACCTCTCAAGGGGAGCCTGTGGTGTCTTGGCCCTTGGTGATGGTGGAGCTCGTTCTCTGTGGCTCTGTGCATGGTACAGTTGGGGAAGGAGAGCAACTGCTGGCCCTGGTTGCAGCTGAGAACAAGTGAGCAACTTTTATAAAAGCCTGTAATTCTCTTTTGACGAGACCCTTTTCAGTAGTTGACAGTATTAGGTTTCCCACATGATTGTGGCAGATGATGTTATTGAAGCTAGAAATTAATATCCGTATATCATATAAAAGGAGCTCTGGTGGCACAGTGCCTAAAACATTTGACTGCTAACCAGAAGGTTGGTGGTTCAAACCCACCAGCCACTCTGTGGAAGGAAGATGGGGCAATCTACTTCTGTAAAGCTTTACCACCTCAGAAACCCAATGGGGGTCTCTATGAGTCAGAGTCAACTCAGTGGCAGTGAGTTTGATATTGTTGTTGTTGTTGTTATGTGCCGTCGAGTCGGACCCGACTCATAGCAACCCCTCCTTGGGTTTCCAAGGCAGTATCACTACGGAAGTAGATTGCCCCATCTTACTTCCGGGGAGTGGCTGGTGGGTTTGAACTGCCAGCCTTCTGGTTAGCAGTCAAGTGCCTTAGGCACTATACTACCAGAGAGTTTGATATTAAGTAAACGAATAAGTATTTCATTTCTCTCCTTCTTAGTCTGTTGGGTAAAGCAGACTGTCATTCCAATTAATGATTTTTTGTTTTGTTTTTTTTTCTTGGATAAACCATTTAATGAATAAAATCTACTGATCCCTTGGTCAAACACCAAATGGACATAGTGATTAAAAGAGAACTTAGAAGTGAATGTGTTTACCTGTATTCTGGATTAATGTCAAGTAGCAGCCTACTATATCATCTGAATCCAGTTGAATCAAGATGATCCAGACTTCACCAAATAGTTATTTCTAGTCCAAAACATTAGGATATTTTTAAAGCAGCCATTTCTCATCAGAAAACCTCTCACTAGCAGGTTAGGGAATTGAAGTTACAAAGTTTCACAGAATACTTTAAGAGAAGTTTGCTTATGTGTGTAATAGTGCTTTATACATCGAGCAGAACATTCCACTGATTCCCCTGTTCATCTGTCTGTGTAGGACTAGGCTGGCACAATGGACTGGGGCACCCTGCACACCTTCGTCGGCGGTGTCAATAAACACTCCACCAGCATCGGGAAGGTGTGGATCACGGTCATCTTTATCTTTCGTGTCATGATCCTCGTGGTGGCTGCTCAAGAAGTGTGGGGTGATGAACAGGAGGATTTTGTCTGCAACACTCTGCAGCCAGGATGTAAAAACGTGTGCTACGACCACTTCTTCCCCGTGTCCCACATCCGACTGTGGGCACTGCAGCTCATCTTTGTCTCCACGCCCGCCCTGCTAGTTGCCATGCACGTCACCTACTACAGACACGAGACCACCCGCAAGTTCAGGCGAGGAGAGAAGAGGAACGAATTCAAAGACATCGAAGACATTAAAAAGCAAAAGGTTCGGATAGAGGGGTCCCTGTGGTGGACATACACCAGCAGTATTTTTTTCCGAATCATCTTTGAAGCAGCCTTCATGTATGTGTTCTACTTCCTGTACAACGGATACCACCTGCCCTGGGTGTTGAAATGTGGGATCGATCCTTGCCCCAATCTGGTTGACTGCTTTATCTCGAGACCCACTGAAAAGACCGTGTTCACCATTTTTATGATTTCTGCATCTGTGATTTGCATGCTACTTAATGTGGCTGAGCTGTGTTACCTGCTGCTCAAAGTGTGTTTTAGGAGATCAAAGAGAGCAAAGACACAAAGAAATCACCCCAATCATACCCTGAAGGAAAGTAAGCAAAATGAAATGAATGAACTGATTTCAGATAGTGGTCAGAATGCAATCACGGGCTTTCCAAGTTAAACATTTCAAAGTAGAACATAGCTGATTGATAACAAAACTTGCCTTCTCCTGAAGGCAACACCAACCTGAAAACACTCTTTCTAGACTGAAGAGTTTCTGTTGATAAGTGACTTCCATGATAAATAGATACTCGAATTAACTTTTTTGTAGAACCACTGTGCCGTTAACGTACAACATAATCAAACCTGTGGTCCATCTCTGAAAACTAAAAGATTGATTTGACAATTCTGCCTTAAAGTAACTTTAACATGTTGAGTTAAAGTGGACTCTTTGATGTAATAGGTGGTCCCTGAAAATTTAAGTATGTACCTATTATCCTGTGATTAATAAGAAAATTTACCTAGAAATGGATACTTTTATTAGTAAAAGATATTTTTATAGGATCCAATGTTTTAGTTCTGACTTAGAATTTACATAAAGTATTTTTGTAATGACTGGTCTTCCTTACCTGAAAAAACATGCAGTGTTAGAGAACATAAGTATCTAAATGTTGAACTTACAAAAGGTCTATCTTATTGTACATATTGTTTTACATTATTGACAAATTTATGAACTATCATGATACTCTGAAGGTGGAAGGCATTCATTGTACACCATGTTTTTATTGCTTTTTGAATGTAGACATAGCCGTGTGGCAGAGGAAAGCTTTTAAACTAGTCTCTTTGTCAATCATTGTGAAAAAGTTCAACATGAATGTGATTGCCTCAATAAAGATAAGCCTTAGCATACAATGTGGGTTTCTGTTCAGTGTGTCATCCAAGCACAAATGGGCCACCTCGCCATCACCCCTGTTGGGGTAACTTGGATGGGTCACTTTTCCTGGGAGGCTGCTGGTCCCTATGGGTGGAAGGGCCTGGCAGGTCAATGGGGACCCTTGCATTCACACATCAAGTGGGTAGAGCCCACTCTTAGCAGCCCACCAGGTCCACAGTGGGGAGAGAGTTGGGCTACTCAGAGACCACAGAGAAAATGCCCTCTAGTTCAACTCAGACTTGATAGAAAAGAAGTTGGGGATGATTTGAGCAGCTCTCAGACAAAGTCTTCCCCAGAGGATGCATGACCTGAGTCCTTATGTTCCATTGTGACTGAAAAAGTTACCCACAGCTTTGTCCCCATAGATGGGAAAATCTCTTTCTCCCTAAGGTTTCCAGATGGAACACAGATGCTGTGAGTGTGGGTACCAGTCAATCAGTCACAGACTGCATCCCTCTTTGGTGCAATAATACACACCTTAATGCCACCTCTGGGGAGAGGGAAGTATTTCGCATGGTACACTGTGCAGTGGGAATGCGTAATGAATAATAATAATAATAGAAAACTCATTGCCATTGAGTCAATTCCAACTCAAAGTGACCCCCTTTAGGTTCCCTAGGCTGTAAATCTTTACAGAAGTAGATTGTGCCACCTGCCTTCCAGGGAGAGGCTGGTGGGTTTGAACCACCAACCTGGTTAGCAGTCAGATGCCTTAGGCACCATGCCACCAGAGCTCCTTCAATGACTAATGGACAATGGATACATATATGGGCTAGATGTGGCATGCTGGTTCCTAACGGACCTCTTCCATAACCTCTTTCCAGAAAAGCAAAAAACTAATTCTCGTTTTCTTCAGAGATTCAACAAATCTGAGACATCATATCATTTATCCATAAATATTTTAGTATTGATCTATAAAAAGGACTAACCTTTTTAAACAAAACCACAACTCCACTAAAACAAATCTAATGTAATTCCCCAATGTCCTATAATGTTCCTTTTTTTTTTTAAATAGGTGTTTGGATGGGTATCAAACGGAGCCCATAAACAGGAGAGGAGGGGGGATTAGGGGAAGATAAACCTGCCTTGGTAATGATTCCAACCTGTATGGAAATAAAACTGCCTTTCCACTGGTTCCTGGAGACTGCCTCTCTCCCTCATGTCTGCTCTGTTTGCCGCCTCCTTTCTCTTTCATTTTCAACTCTTCTCTACTTTCTGCTCCTCCACCTCTCCAAGCGCTCCCTCCTGCTCTAGCTACAGCCCACCATGCCCATAAAGGTTCTTAAATGATGAGCTGTACTCACTGCTGGACACCTGCTTCCACATTCTTACTTCCTCCTCAGCACTTTAACATGGGCTCCACCCTCACCTTTGAACTGAAGCCATCTTAGCACCACTGTCTTTCTTGACATTCAATGGCATCTTCTCAGTTCTCTTTCTAAATCTCCTTTTTCAAATCATTTCCTGCAATCCAAGATAATGCTCATCCTAATGACAGTTTTCCTGTTCATCTCCAAGTAAGCTTTAGCCTCTTCTTCTGCCAATTCCTCACTCTCCAGTCTTCCTTGGCAATATTGTTTATCCATGCAATCAACCTGTGAGACACTGCCCCTGCTTTACAGATGAGGACATTGAGGGTCAGAGAGGTTAAGTAAGTTGCCCCCGGTCACATAGTTAATAACTATCAGAGCCAAGATGCAAACTCAGGTCTGAGTATCTCCAAAGTCAGGAGCTTAACTACCATATTGCATTGACTTCCACAGCTTCATCCATGATGACAACATGTCATTTATAGTAAGAAACTTCAGATACCTATCATCCAGCCTCAACAATTAGCTATTCATGGCTACTTATTTTCCCCACATATCCCATCCACTCCTCCTCCCACTCCAGATTACTCTGAAGCAAATTCCAGGATATTATTTCAGTACAAATCTTTTTAAAAAATAAGGACTACTCTTTTTAAAACTACAAATGCACCATCACACTGAAAAGTCCACTCAGTGTTCACAATTCCCCAACTGTCTTATAAATGTTCCTTGCTTTTTTTAAATTAAACTTTTTTATTTTGAGGTCCTTATAGATTCACATGCAGATGTAAAACATAGAGAGATCCTATGTACTCTTTAACTGGTTCCCTCAATGGTAACATATTGTAAGACTACAGTAAAATAGCACAAAAAGTATACTGACATTGATACAATCAAGATACTGAACACTTTCATTATTACAAGGATCCCTGCTCTTTTATAGCCCCACCCACTTCCCTCCCATCTCAATGCTGAATTGTATGGTAGTTGCATATTTAGTTTTTTAAGAAATTGGTAAACAGTTTTCCAGGGTAGTTGTAGCATTTTACATGCTTGCCAGCAAATTAAAAGCCATCCAGTGTCTCCACATCCTCACCAGCACTTAGTGTTGTCATTATTTTTTATTTTAGCAATTATGATACCGGGTATCTCATTGTGGTTTTAATTTCTATTTTCCCACTGGCCAGTGAGATTGAACATCTCTTCATGTGTTTATTTGCCATCTGTCCATCATCTTCAGTGAAATGTCTCTTCATCTCTTTTGACCATATTCTAGTTAGATTGTTTGGTTTTTTATTAGAATCTACTATTAAGTTGTTTTACTGTTGAGAGTTCTTTATATACTATACATAGTAGTTCTTTGTTGGACTTGTGGTTTTCAAATATTTCCTCCCACTCTTAGGTTGCCTTTTCATCCTTTAACAGGGTCTTAGTAAATTTTTTTAATTTTGGCAAAATCTGATCTATTAATTTTTCCTTATATGGATTATGCTTTTGTTGTAAGATCTGAGAACTCTTTGCTTAGCCTTAGATCCCAAAGATTTTCTCCTTTGTAATTTTTTCTAAAAATTTTACATTTTACTTTTAAGTCTGTGATTAATTGGAAATTAAATTTTTATAAAGGTATAGGACTAAGGTTAAGGTTCATTTTTTTTTGGGGGGGGGGGCCTACAGATGTCTAATTGCTCCAGCACCATTTGTTGAAAATGTTATTTTCCTCCATTGAATTATTTTTCCATGTTTATCAAAAATCAGTGGGGCACATTTTGTGTGAGTCTATTTCTGGGTTCCCTCTTCTGTTCCACTGATCTATGTACTTGACCCTCTGTCAATACCTCAGTCTTGAATACTGTAGCCATGTTGTTGTTACTATGTGCCGACGAGTGACCCCTCCTTGGGTTTCTGAGGAAGTATCACTATGGAAGTAGATTGCCCAACCTTCCTTCTGAGGAGTGGCTGGCGGGTTTGAACCGCCAGGCTTCTGGTTAGCAGTCAACTGCCTTATGCACTACGCTACCAGAGCTTCTACTGTAGCCATAAAGGTACACTATAGGTATTTTAGGTATCAGTACAGATAGGTATATCAAGTAGACTGATTTCTCCCACTTTCTTCTTCTTTTTCAAAATTGCTTTAGCTACTCTAGTTCTTTTGCCTTTCTGTATAAACAATTGAATAATCTTGTTGATGACTAAAAAATTTCTTTCTGGGATTTTGATAGAAATTGTGCTATACTCTTATCAGTTTGGGGAGAATTGACATCTTTACTATGTCAAGTATTCCAATCTATGAACATGGTACATCTATTTATTTAGCTCTGATTGCTTTCATCAATATACTGTGGTTTTCACCATACAAGTCCTGTTTATGTTTTGTTAGATTTACATCTAAGTAATTCTTTTCCTTTTAAAATTGTAAGTGGTATTGTGTTTTTTATTTTGATGTCCATGTACTTATCTTGCATCCTATGACCTTGCTGAACTCACTTATTAGTTTAGGAAATTTTTTTTTCTCTCTCCTGAATTCCTTGAGATTTTCTACATAGTAGCCATGTTATCTGCAAATAATGAGTTTTATCTCTTCCTTTCTTATCTATATGCCTTTATTTCTGTTTCTTGCTTTGTTGTATGTGCTAGAACTTCTATCACTATGTTGAGTAAGAGCAAATATCCCTGCCTTTTTCCTTATTTTAGGCAGAAAGCATTTAGTTTTGCACCATGAAGTATGATATTTGTTGTTGTTAGGTGCCATCGAGTCATCTCTGACTCATAGTGACCCTATGTACAGCAGAACAAAACATTGCCTGGTCCTGTGCCAGCCTCACAATATTTGCTGTACCTGAGCCCATCATTGCAGCCACTGTGTCAATCCATATTGTTGAGAGCTTTCCTCTTTTCTGTTGACTCTCCACTTTATCAAGCATGATATCCTTCTCCAGGGAATGGTCCCTTCTGACAACAGGAAGGGCTATCCGGTTATGCT